AATGTCAATGTTCTTAGAAAACATTAACCATTAAGATTAATGGCTAATGAAAGTCATTAATTAATGTCATTAATTAAGTTCCGTTAAAAAAAATGGTCCACCCCTAATGCCACGGCTGATGGCAGAGTTTTTCACATATTAATCTGTTGTTACACGCCAAAGCTCTACGGAGCATTAAAACTTCAACCTATTTCTTTCTTTTTTTACATATCACTTGTCTGATATAATTAAGTTCCACTTTGTTGCACATTAGTCGCATCTCTAAGTATCATGTGGTCATGGCGGAGCGGGTTTTATACTCGGCGAAGCTATGTTACATGCCGAATAACTTAGCCACTAAGTCTCGGTAGCTCAGAGCAGAGTTACTTGCCCAATTATTAGGCAGCTTTGCCAGCTTCAATGAATTAAACGTAAAAGAAAAATTGTCTATGGATTTCGTCTGAATAAGCAGAGTAGACGATTTTTATAGCTCATGTTATCATCTCGAATTGTCTAATTTCTGTAAGATTAACGAATGGTGCAAACAGAGCAATAGTCCTGTAGGTGTTGTACATCTAGCAGAAGATGTAGGCACCCATGTCTATCAAAAATACTTTTTGTCTGCCATTCAATGAAAATATTCTTGTCAGCACATGTAAATAATCATTTATTATATTTGATTGAATCTTAGTTAATTACATCAAAGTGTACCAATAACTAATGAAAAAAATATCTCAGATCGAATCAACTTTCTAGGATTCTGTGGGAAACCAATCAAATTCCACAAAATGTTTTTTGTCAATTGTCTTTCCTAATTAAAATATTGCGTTCTTTATTTAAGGAAAAATTTTAGTTAGTTTTGTTGAATATTCCCTTTTAATTTTGCTACGAAGATGAATTAGTATTCTACTTACCGCCTGCGCTTCTTTTTTTCTGATTTTTTGTCATCGCGAGTGTCCGAGCCTGGCTCACTGGTAAATGAAAACTTAGTTGCACTGAGTGAAGGTATACCATTGTGAGATGCAGGATCTGGTGAAATCCGGTGATTCGCCCGGCTCAATATTCTGCTTGTTCGACTTATTTTACAATTCGGAATCAATGAATTATTCTGACTTTGTTGGATATTATTCGATAATTTTCTTATCGGATTCTGATCAGGTATTAATGTTTGATTACTTGTTCGGTGTAATGACTAAATATACAATTTATTTGTGATAAATATGCTATTTTCATAAATGATCAGACTAACCACCAAGGATTTATTCGGTTGATTTGAATTGCCAACACCATTAATTTCTGCTTTGGTTACACGGCGAACAGTTGGCCGAAAGAGACTGGTATAAATTCTAGATGGTTGCATCTATCGTGTTACTCGTTTCGGTAGAAAATGCTTTGTGAGATCAGTAACTGATATTTGAGTGCCCAATAATATTTGTTGTAAATACAGGCTTCATCTCGTAGATTACACAAATAACGCTATGCGAAGCCATTGCATTACGAGCGAAATATGATAGAGAGAGGAAAAAGGCTGACCAACAAAATGAAATCAATTTTGTACGAGCACGACTGGCAGTCGCATAATAAAGAAACATAATGAAATTCGTAGCACTGATACATTTTTAATGCAACATTTTTGTTGACTACAAGATAAAATAATAATTGAAAAGTCTCATGTATGGGTTGTCTTTCTGCATTAAATTGTTTTAGCTTCTTCTGCACACAACGATACGCCCAATAGACTGCTATTCATTTCTACATACTGTTTTGAAGTCAGTGATGATTAAACAGGAGAAAGTAGACTGATTCTTGAAAATGTTTTTTTGTACTTGGTTAGCTCTCGTTTTGGGGATCATGTAGCAATAGTAGAACTAATATTTAGTCCGCCAAACATAGAGAGCTAAACATGTTTCAATAATAGACGTTGTCGTCGTGTCATATATAGAATATATTGAGTAACCAGTATTCGACACAGTAGAACATCCATAACTGCGCAATAACGCAATACAAAAAGAGAATCACGAGATGAATTATAGTTGAGAGCTTACGTAACAAACCAAATTAGAGATTCAAAAAATAGATAACATACGAAAAACGTTTAGCGTCAGTGAGTGTCATCTAGTGACGCTAACATACTCTATTAGAATTTATAAATTTCTATATTCCTTCGACTGAAGGGAGGAGCATATGAAAAAAACTAAAATGCGTTTGTTTGTGTGTTTGCTTGATGTAAAAAAAACATTCAATGGAGGTTAGCTTCTTTTAAGACTTTTGCACATTTTGATCGAACTTTGCCATAGGTTATCGAGGATCCTGAATTCGAATCCGAAGCTCATTTCTTTGGCTAAAGTCTCATTGGCCAGGAGCTGAACAATCAGAAATGAACCTTCTCATTTGAAGACTTTCGGTCGTTTCGATCGAACTTTGCTACAGGAACGAAGTCTTTGTTCAGGATGTGGTTTGCTTTTGTGAAAGATACTGCAATAAAGAGTCAGACAGAAGACCGATGGTGCGCATACGTGTGTTGGATATCTTAAGCATCGGGTTTCTGTGAATTTCCCACAAATACGAAGTTTATTGCTTAGAAAAATGAAAGGAGCCGTATTCTCTAACTTAGACATGTTGAGTACAACAGTGAGAGAAAGAAGGTTCGAGTACTGCCATTCATTTCCTAGTGAAGATCTCCGAGAACTGCAACGAAAATTATTTTCCAATCAATAGTGAAAGCACGTACAGGAGTTATTCCCTCGACTGTAGGGAGGCTCATATGAAGTAAAATGTGTTTGTTCGTCTGTTTGTGGAAGGTCAAAAAAAAACATTTTGCGAACTTCCCTTCGGTTTAGACTGAAAAGCTTTTTATGTAACTTTCCAGAAGGTTATCAGGGTAACCATGGGGAAGTTAGCACAAGATTCGAGTTTTCCAGCCCGCATTCGCCTATATGGTTGTGTTGAATTTCATTTTCGTTGTGTTGGATGTAGAATTTTGTGCTGAATCGAATGGTGTAATTTTTAA